CATCATCGATCAAACGAATATTGTTCCCAATAAACATCCTTTAAAGGGACCTTTCAACATTGTTCAGATGAGAGAAAATGGTGCTAAGGAAGTGACTTTAATGCTTTGTGTACAATTAAAGATAATCTGAAAGTTTGAGTGAAAACAGACCATTATTAATGATAACAATTGGGAAAAATGATCTGATCGATTCCTTAATTCTCCCAACTATATAATTATAATTTAATTTAATTTTAGGTGAATGTAAATCGTCACAAAGCAATGAATTGGCTCCATATACCATCTTTGCATGTTAGAGAGTTAGAACAGTATAAATAATATTATAAGTAACATTTCATTAAAAAATAACGCATTTTTTTCATCAACCTTTCACAATGTTACCGGTTCACTTTAAGATATGCATTTTGATCTGAATCAATACAGATATTTTAAACACTTTTTTCAACCATCCTGCTTAAACAGATGCTATTATTTTATAGTCAGTATTTAGGAGACTCCAATTTGAAATATTTTCTTTGTCGCTTTTCTTATGTAGAAGGGTTATTACTTTAGCAAACTCATTTAACCATGCGGATAACAGGAAGAAGTAAATTCGAGACTGTACAACTACAAAGCATGGATAAGATTGTTGATGTGTAAATTCCCCTACCTTCAGGTTTTTTTTTAACTCTCTATATATAAATTTAGTTTTTTTTAAAGAGATTTGGTTACGCAAATAAAAAGCACCATTTCCATCTTTAATCATTCCTCCATTTTTGTCCTTTTTACAAGTCAGGACCGTGTTAAAGTCACCGGCTAAAACAACCCGATCTCCTGGAAGTACATGTTCATGAAATAAATGAAAAAAAATCCTTTTTGATGCTTAATACATTTGGTGAATATAAATTAATAAACCAGATAGATTAACCTGCAAAAGATACTTCTATTCCATTCAACCTCCCATTTTCAAAAGCAATCTTTTCCTGAACGTCGATAGCCTTGTTCCGCAGCTTTGCAAAGTGCCCACTGAATGAAAAGCACGACCTGACCAATCATATTTACCATGTTTCTTTACAATGTCATCTGTGAAATGGGTCTCCTGAAGAAATATGATATGCGCATCAATATCCTTATTCCATCTGTATATTTTCAATCGTTTTAGCGATAGTCTAGCGACACTATGCTAAGATACATCGAGCTCATGCATTCGTAAGTAAAGTGACCTCGATTAACTACTGCTCAACACACACTTCGGGTCATGTCAATGGCACTGCCAAAGCGGATGCAGTTTTTTAAAACCTTTAAAAGAAGCCATTTATTAATTAAAATAATTTTGGTTAATTTACTTTCTATGGTAAACTATAGCACAATCGCGTGATCTGTTCAAGGTGGTAAACCTGCATCCGATATCCTTCCGTGGGCTCTTCAATTGGTTACGATCATCATTCGTAATTATCTGCTGGTTCTTTTCGCTTCCGAAGTGGTGATTCGTGTCCATTCGAAAGCGTCCGGGAACTAGACCGTTGATAGTTGACCTTTTACGCGGTGTAGAAGGTCAACTATATAGGGATAGGCCTACTAATTGGCGGAGCTATGGGCTTCATGGGACATGGCCCTAAAATCAGAAGGCGAATTGGTGTGGAGGGAGGGGGGGGGGATTGCAGAAAGAGGGAAAGAAAGTGAGGGGAAAGGTAAATAAAAGAAAGAAAAGAGGATATGGCCCTCTTATATAACCCCTCCACTTGGTGGCCTCATCACACATTTATTTAGTCGTAAGATCATGCCCTATCCATGACTCCAGCTCGTCCTTCCCTCAATGACTGGACCCGAGCTGGGTTTAGGCCTACCGACTTCATCCGAGCTCTTTGCCACGTAGAGAGATGACGCAAGAACACGATGAAGAGAGAGGTAATTAAACACGTTAGAGAGAGAAACGGAGAGAGACAGACAAAGACTTGTGGACACAATGTCCTTTATCTTACATGATGCATTTTCTTTAAGCTTAAATTAATATATAATATTAATAATAATTAATATTAATTTTGCTTATGGTCATATATTAAGATTCATATAACAATATGGAAAGACACACATAATTAAACTGTTTTGAGGTGCATGTCTATTTCTTGATTTGGAGAATGCTGTACGATACATTTCGTGCACGATTTTGATGTATTTTGAAACGCTTAAAATCTTTGATAGAATTTCATATGTATCTGCGTGAGGTCCGATGAACAATACATTTCAATTTTCTTCATGTTACACGTCCTCTAAGTTCAGTTTAACACTTGACGTTTCTCAACATTAGACTGATCAATTATTGTTTAAAATACTTATTATTACTACGTAATCATCTACTATACCTTTGTATAAATTTACATTACTTTCCAAGATATATATGTTCCAAAAATAACAGTGGTGACTTCTTGAATAGCGCTCATGTTCGTTACGCCGTGACGCTCTTGGCGCTCACACATTATTACCCTAAGAGACATCTATGAACAGAGTTTTGTCATCTTGGTTTCAAGTCACAATTTCCAATTTCCTTTGCATTGCGCTAGCCCAACAAAGCGGTATTCGCCATATTGTTCCAAACTCGAACTGGATTGGCCAAACTCTCCTAATCAAATGGCTCTGATGGCTCCGGCCATTTATAGTCGAGTGGCTAAAAAGGTAGGGCTTTAGCACATCGGGTATCTATTTACACCTGGGTGATTTTAGTGGCAAGTGTGGATAAATGTCTAGCCGAAGGAAGTCAGTGATGGTCTGGGATTCGACCTCTCAACATTTTCATTTGGAGTCAAGTGAATGAACCACTATAATACCACAACACCTCCATTTAATCAATAAATAATACAGGGCCCTAGCTCATAGAACAGTTAACTGCTGACGAGGCCACCTGGCTAAAAAAAGACTCCATAAATACATTCGTGGAAGAAAAAAAAATATTGGGCCTACGTTGCGTTTATGGTCGTGCACATGAATTATCAATATACATATGACTTTTACTGAATGGTTGATTATTAATTTTGTAAATAGGAATAATACTGTATTGATTAACTAGATAAAAGGAAATAATTATCAGACGTGCCGAATCTTGCTTAACACAAGACACATATTTGAGGATATGAAACTACTACTTGGTCATGACATTTCATAACTTTAAGTCATATTCATAATCTGACAGATATTCAAGAGAAATATTTATCAGTGACTTACATGCATGGCAGTTGTTTAAACAAAGAGGGTAAGCTCAGGAGTCATCTGTTGCTTTTAGTATGGAAGATAAGAAGTTTGTATAAAGTACATCTTTAACACGATCACAACAATTTTCGAAAAATCTACTCAAGGGCAATTTCAATACTCTATGAAAATCATGTTCAGATTATGTAATACCTCATTTTCATGTTTGCACATTTTGATAGGTGACGCACAGGGCATTTAAAATAGCTTTTTATTGATATTTTGTTATTTACAGGAGTCTGCTGACAGTATAAATGGAGATGATAAAAAGGTAGCCAATATGTTGTTGTTGTTGTTTGGTATTATCGGCGTTTCATTCTTTTTTAGAATATTTACGCCTTTCACTTTATTTCTTTCTTTTTTTCTTCTATATTTTGGTACTATTTGTAAATTCATACTCATCTCTTTTTTTTTTTTGGATAATATAATCTCAGATCTACTGGTCCATGAAAACCCCTCACCGCAATTGGCACCTTCCTGCCAGACCGGCGCGGTACATTGCGCAATCTTCTCGGCCATCATTGGCCTAGGCAACTCTGGTGCCGGTGAGAGGATTCTGGGGTAGATCTCCAGAGTCTCTTGTTTGGGGTTTACCGTCCTCAATCCGTCTTTACTCTTTCTTACCTTTTCTCTTCTAGTATTTTTCCATTTTGTAAAACCTTATTTTTCTATCAAAGTAGGTATCAATATCTTAGGGCATTTGGTTGTCGTGCGATATGTGCAAAAAAAAAAAAAAAAAAAAAAAAAAAAAAAAAAAAAAAAAAAAAAATTAGGAACACTCAAAACGCCTCGTTCTACGAACGAAGCGGATCAGTGCTCTAGATAATCTCTCTTAGGAGTTTCATAATTTCGTTTGGGCTCGTTATATCACTTTCCATTATCAGCATTGCTCTTTCTATTGTATATGTTGGACATTCCATCAGATAGTGTGTTATTGTTTCAGGGGTGTTACAGTATTTACAGTTTTTGTTGGCTTGGCCAGGTTGGGTTGTTTGGGATACCCATACTTTTGAGGGGTCTGCGTTTAGTCCAATATGACTCGTATTTCCGTTCAGTAATAATAATCGTCATCTCGATTTATATTGCGCTTAATTAATACGATGTACCGTTTCTAAGCGCTTTACAAGATTGCAGATAATCATCATTCCCGGTCATCGAATTCATTCACGCACAATGTGCACCATCTCCACTCTCTGGTGTGTTTTCTTACCATAATAGTCACCGTGAGGGTATATGGCAATAACTAACACAAAGGTTTTCGTCATCTTATCATGTACCCATTTCTCTCCTGGATATGGAGTGGCGAATATAGATTAATACCTTGCCGAATAACTTTAGTGATGTGTCGAGGATCGAACCCACGACATTTGCATTTTAATTCAAGTGCTTTAAACCACTCGACTACACATGGACACAAATTAGTGGAGTCAAACAACATTTCTTGTTTGTAAAATCAAAATTTCTTCGTCGTATTCTTTATGTTTTAAAGGCTTCCTTGGTTATTTCAGTGAATGGAAAATCCCACCATATGCTCTTAGATACTTTAACTTGAAGTGCAAAATTAAGTGGTTTGTTTGTCGATTTCCTAAGGGCGCTTGATATACCCTGTCTCGAAAGTTGATCCTATCTTCTTACAAACACCAACATGCTGGTGGCTTTTGATCTTCAGATTTGTCTCAGAAAAAAGTGTTCTATCGGAGTCTGCTTCTTAAATCTAACCGCAAAATACTCAAGAAGATAAAATAGCGAGAACAGCGAGTTAAGTCGTCACAGTACATCTGGAACGGGTCGACGGTTTTACCTAAAGTATCAGCGAAGAGCCTATCATCAACCGACTTTGAATTGGTGACTTCATCTTTCCAGCGTGTATCACCCTTCGCCATCTCAACATCAAAATGATGTTCGTGGCTTATCTAGTAGTGTGCTTCTTAGCAACAGCGGCGAACGCTCAGAGTAGTAAGTCAGAAAAATTGATTTAATTATCCTTATGATCAAAATGATGCATCTGTAAATTGTATTTCTTCTTTTGTTTCAAGTAAGGGTGTAGATTTGTCCTCGGCAAAAATCGGGAGAAAGGAACTGATGCATCTTGTCCGAATTTCAACTATCCTGTTTCTAAATTTGCGAGTGAGCATAGCGAGCGAGAAAAATAAGAGCTTTTCTATGCTAAAACAGTTATGTAGTAGTCATTGAAAAAAATACAATTGCGAGATTATGGCGTTACATTATTCCGACACCTCGCTAAAATAGGAGGATATCCGAACACCTCACCGCCTGAAACCATCCTCTTTTCTTAATTTTGTGAGTGAGCGAAGCGAGTGAGCCAAATAAACGATACTTCCTATCTTTACAATCTTATATCATCACCAAAAACACGGTAAATAAAAAGATTATTAGAATGTTTATTTTCTTGCACCTACCGTAAGTCTGTAATAAGAGAATCATGAATTTTTGACCTAAAAGATCACTTAATCTTTGCGAATCTGATATTGACATTTTTTCAGTAAATTGAGACGTTATCATGGACAACTCTCTCGTTTGTCGGATACAAAAAAAAATCACTCATTTATGTTTTTCTCCCAATCGTTTCGCCCTTGGGGCCTCTCCTCAAAATATATTATTGATAACATATTATTGTTGGTCCTCTAAAGAGAAAAGACCATCCCGGGTCATACATTAACCGAAATAAAGATGAAAATAGTCATTTTGTGTGTTGGAACAAATGGAAAAGTTGTCCGGCGCTATATCAGTGAAATGACCGATTCATATTATTTTAAAGTTCCAATTCCTATAGTTTTACCACCATAAAACATTCGCAACTCTCTCATTTTTTGGTTCGATTTCGTTCAAACTTTGACCAGTCTTTTTCTTTAATTTTAGTCTGCTTTCTTCTATATTTCCAAATAAATGCCGTATTAGCATAATAAATTATGCTAACACGTCTCTATGCGATTCCAAAGGAGTTGGATAATTACCCCATCTTAAGCTTATAATCATCATCATCATAATGATCACCATCATCATTATCATTGTTATTACTTTTTTTAAAAATATTATTGCTACTACTAATGTAGCACAATGACCACTTAAACAACAGGTCGATAAAACTATGGTGTAGTTTAGGAAAAGATTTGTAAGATTTTCGATTGATTTATAAGGGGTTTTGTTTATTTTTCAAAAGAAATTTCAGCACATATTAAATTATAAACAATAACAAATATTTGTGTGTGAAGTAGTTCGACTGCCTTACTAACACCGATTTCATCAAATGCGCTGTACTGTTCTGTTTCAGGTGTTCGTCTTGTCGAAGGTATCACGCTAGGAGAAGGTAGGGTTGAGGTACTTTACAATGAAGAATGGGGAACTGTCTGTGATGACGGGTGGGACTTGACTGATGCCAACGTAGTCTGTGAGTCCCTTGGACTTGGTGCTGCAACAGATGCTTTCCAGTCTGCTTTCTTTGGTCAAGGCACAGGAACCATCGTTTTGGATGACGTCTCCTGCTCCGGTGACGAAACGAGTATCTTTGACTGTGGGAATGCGGGTCTTGGAATCCACAACTGTGGTCATTCAGAAGACGCAAGTGTAGTATGTGAAAACGGAGGTATGAACATGGGCGTGTGCGGATTTCGCGATGAGGGGGGGGGGGGGGGGGGGTGAAACATAAGGTTTTTGTTCCAAGAAGGTCAGAACCCTTCCAACCTTTGGGGCCTCCACCTCGAATGGACTTTCGACGGTTTCGTTGTAGCTCCAAAATGTAGCTACGTTAACTACCTGCATATACCCCCAAACCACCAATTTAGTTTTTCGTTTTTGTTCTCATAAATATTTCATAATATTTCCAAAAGAAATGTTGAATAATTATTTTGTTAATTTCAGATCCACAGTTATTTTCACGACTTATTAAGCTTGAAATGGTAGCAGGGTAGGGTGATATTAGAGGGAACAGATCGATCAATTAAGAAGCTTAGAGATATACTGCAAAATTGTGGCAATGTAGATCATGGACGAGGCAAAAACGACTTATCCGCCCCCTTAATGATGGCTGGAAATAATATGGTTTCCACAGTTTTAAGTAAATCCGCATTAAAAAAGTGGCATGGGTGCGTAGCGAACTAATGACAAAATCTAGATTTTTTAATTTAGATTTATTTGCTTCTGCTTTTTTTTGTTGATAGGGGCTCCAGAGCCCCCTCACATTTTTACCGTTTTAATACAGACAAGTCTGCTCTTATCCGATCAAAGGAAACAATTTCAGTAGCTTATAACTGTAAGCTGTTATTGATAATAATTTCCATGATACAGGGCCCTCCATAGTTACGTCGTTGTTTCTCTGCCGGTTTTTCTTGTCCTGTTTCTCTCCGTTTCATTTTTTTGTGAGTGTTTTTTCTATTACCTCCCGGTAACAATTTTTTATTTTCTAATGATGGCGTTAATAGAACACTGATGCTCTCCCTCATCTATCATTCTCTCTCTCTCTCTCTCTCTCTCTCGCTCTCCCTCCCTTCTCATTTTCTCTCCTCCTCTCTCTCTTTCACGAATAATGTATAGTACGACTGGTTGCTGGAAGCGATGCAAGCGAAGGCAGAGTTGAGGTTTATCACAATGGAGCCTGGGGAACTGTCTGTGATGATTCGTGGGATGACACCGATGCTGGAGTTGTCTGCCGAAATCTTGGATTCGATTCTGGAACTGGGGTAGGAAGCGCTGAATTCGGACAAGGTTCAGGGGATATCCTCCTGGATGACGTATCATGTACCGGAACCGAAACAAGTCTTGGTGATTGTGATAATGCTGGTCTCGGTGTCCATAACTGTGTGCACTTTGAAGATGCCGGAGTCCGCTGTTCTCAGACAAATTTGGATGGTAAAATGTTTGTCTAAACATCCCATTTATTCTTAGAACTATCCACTCCAATTCACAGAGTATTTGGTGTAGCGCTCTTTACTTCCTTGTCTTGAAAACAACAACTGTGGAAACACGCGCGCCTAAGGATTCTGTGATTGGGGGTAATGGGGGGGGGGGGGGTGGGGGTGGGAGGGGGGCAAACATTCGAGAGGGCTCTCCTTTCAGGGGCAGTGTCGTAATGAGCAAAAATGTTTGGGGGGGGGGAGGCAGAAGAAAAATCTGCATCACCACCACTCTTATTTGTTACATACAAGTATTAACGATCAGGTAGAGCGTAGCGAGCGTAAATTGGCGTGGGGTCCAGAGGCTTTGCACCGTTGGGGCTCAAGGGGCGAGCCCTGAAAGCTCAGGTGTTTTAGGCATTTAATTATGGTCAGAAAAGCGTATTTAGATACCTTATTTGTGATACTGGCAGGTCACTTATTGGCATGGGGTCCAGAGGGACTAAGCCATATGAAGCTCAGGGATTGAGGTATTTAAATGCGGTCAGATGAGCATCCAGGGGCCCGCCTTAGGGCCTTGGTTGGGTCCAGGAGGAGGAGCCCCCGTATTATGCCACTGGCAGGTCACTGTTTTTTTTCTTTCTCTCCTTCTTTCTTTTTCTCTTTAACGTACTTTTTTTTATAAGTGAAGGGGCTCGAGCCCGCCGTACCCCGCCGTTCTGCAGTCCCTGACCTGAAGATTAGTCATATTTGATTTTTTTTAAAAAGTAGTCTCTTTATTTTTTTTTGGATTTCGTTCAAACTTTCACCAGTCTGCTTTATCTTTGATTTTAGTCTGCTTTCTTATATAGTTGTTTGCTATTAATGTTGGATTTTCTTTGAATGCAATAATATCACATGCGATTCCAAAGGAGTTGGTTAATATTTGTGTGTGAAGTAGTTCGACTGCCTTACTAACACCGATTTCATCAAATGCGCTGTACTGTTCTGTTTCAGATGTTCATCTTGTCGATGGTATCACTCTAGGAGAAGGTAGGGTTGAGGTACTCTTCGATGGAGAATGGGGAACTGTCTGTGATGACGGGTGGGACTTGACTGATGCCAACGTAGTTTGCGAGTCCCTTGGACTTGGTGCTGCAACAGATGCTTTCCAGACTGCTTTCTTTGGTCAAGGCACAGGAACCATCGTTTTGGATGACGTCTCCTGCTCCGGTGACGAAACGAGTATCTTTGACTGTGGGAATGCGGGTCTTGGAATCCACAACTGTGGTCATTCAGAAGACGCAAGTGTACGATGTGAAAACGGAGGTATGAACATAGGCGTGTGCAGGATTTCGCGATGAGGGGGGGGGGGGGGTTGAAACATAAGGTTTTTGTTCAAGTAGGTCAGAACCCTTCCAACCTTGGGGGACCCCACCACGAATGGACTTTCGACGGTTTTGTTGTAGCTCCAAAATGTAGGTACGTTAACTACCTGCATATACCCCAAACCACAAATTTTGTTTTCCCTTTTTTTCTTCATAAATATTGTATAGTATTTCAAAAAGAAAATGTTGAATAAATATTTTTTAAATTTCACAGCCCTTTATGCACCACTTCATCCACAGTTGTTTTCACCAGTTATTAAGCTTGAAATGGTAGCAGGGTAGGTTGATATTAGAGGGTATAAAGCGATCAAATAAGAAGCTTATTGATATACTGCGAAATTGTGGCAATGTAGATCACGGACGAGGCAAAAACGAATTATTCTTAATTCTATTCTATTATTCTTAATGATGGCTGGAAACAATATGGTTTCCGCAGTCTTTAGTAACTCCGCATCTAAAAAATTGCGAGGGTGTGAAGCGACCGAGTGACAAAATTTAGATTTTTGAATTTAGATTTTTTTTCCTTGTGCCTTTTTTAGTTGTTGATAGGGGGTCCAGAACCCCCTCACATTTCTACAGTTTTAATACAGTCAAGTCTGCTATAATCCGATCAAATGAAAAAATTTCAGTAGCTTATAACTGTAAGCTGTTATTGATAACAATTTCTATAAAACAGGGCCCTCCATATTTACGTCGTTGTTTCTCTGCCGGTTTTCCTTATAATGTTTCCCTCCGTTTCATTTTTTTTGTGAGTGTTTTTTCTATTACCTCCCGGTAACAAATTTTCTTTTCAAAGTGATGGTGTTTATAGAATGCTGATGCTCTCCCTCATCTACCATTCTCTCTCTCTCTCTCTCTCTCTCTCTCTCTCTCCCTCCCTTCTCATTTTCTCTCCTCCTCTCTCTCTTTCACGAATAATGTATAGTACGACTGGTTGATGGAAGCGATGCAAGCGAAGGCAGAGTTGAGGTTTATTACAATGGAGCCTGGGGAACTGTCTGTGATGACTCATGGGATGACACCGATGCTGGAGTCGTCTGCCGAAGTCTTGGATTCGATTCTGGAACTGGGGAAGGAGGCGCAGCATTTGGACAAGGTTCAGGGGATATTCTCCTGGATGACGTATCATGTACTGGAACCGAAACCAATCTTGGTGATTGTTCTAATGCAGGTCTCGGCGTCCATAACTGTGCGCACTATGAAGATGCCGGAGTCCGCTGTTCTCAGACAAATTTGGATGGTAAAATGTTTGTCTAAACATTCCATTTATTCTTAAAACTATCCATGCCAATTCACAGAGTATTTGGTGTAGCGCCCTTTACTTCCTGGTCTTGGAAACAACAACTGTGGAAACAGGCGCGCCGAAGAATTCTGTGATTGGGGGTAATTTCGGGGGGGGGGGGGGTGGGAGGGGGCAAACATTCCAGGGGGCTCTCCTTTCGGAGGCAGTGTCGTCATGAGCAAAAATGTTTGGGGGGGGGCAGAAGAAAAATCTGCATCACCACCACTCTTATTTGTTACATACAAGTATTAACGATCAGGTAGAGCGTAGCGAGCGTAAATTGGCGTGGGGTCCAGAGGCTTTGCACCGTTGGGGCTCAAGGGGCGAGCCCCCGAAAGCTCAGGTGTTTTTAATAGGCATGTAATTATGGTCAGATAAGCGTATTTAGACACCTTATTTGTGATACTGGCAGGTCACTAATTGGCATGGGGTCCAGAGGGACTAAACCCTATGAAGCTCAGGGATTGAGGTATTTAAATGCGGTCAGATGAGCATCCAGGGGCCCGCCTTAGGGCCCTTGGTTGGGTCCAAGAGGAGGAGCCCCCGTATTATGCCACTGGCAGGTCACTGTTTTTTCTTTCTTTCTCTCCTTCTTTCTTTTTCTCTTTAACGTACTTTTTTTTTAAGTGAAGGGGCTCGAGCCCGCCGTACCCCGCCGTTCTGCAGTCCCTGACCTGAAGATTAGTCATATTTGAATTTTTGTTAAAAAGGAGTCTCTTTATTTCTTTTGGATTTCGTTCAAACTTTCACCAGTCTGCTTCATCTTTGATTTTAGTCTGCTTTCCTATATAGTTTTTTGCTATTAATGTTGGATTTCCTTTGAATGCCATATATCACATGCGATTCCAAAGGAGCTGGTTAATTACCCCCAGCTTACGTTTATAATTATCATCATCATCATCATCATCATCATAATGATTACCATCGTTATTATTATTATCATTATGACTATTTTATTATTATAATTATTACTGTTATAGTGTTTTTAATATTATTATTATTATTGTTGTCATCATCACTTCATTATTATATTTGTAGTTAACATTTTTGTTCATATCATTACTATTATCTCTCTTTCGCATGATAGTTTTAGTAGTACGACTGGTTGATGGAAGCGATGAAAGCGAAGGAAGAGTTGAGGTTTATTACAATGGAGCCTGGGGAACTGTCTGTGATGACTTGTGGGATGACGCCGATGCTGGAGTTGTCTGCCGAAGTCTTCGATTCGATTCTGGAACTGGGGTAGGAAGGGCTGAATTCGGAGAAGGTTCAGGGGATATCCTTCTGGATGACGTATCGTGTACTGGAACCGAAACGAATCTTGGTGATTGTTCTAATGCTGGTTTCGGCGTCCATAACTGTGGGCACTTTGAAGATGCCGGAGTCCGCTGTTCTGGGACAAATTTTGACGGTATAATATTTGTCTAAACATTCCATTTATTCTTATTCTTAAAACTATCAACGCCAATTCACAGAGTATTTGGTGTAGCGCCCTTTACGTGCTGGTCTTAGAAACAACAACTGTGGAAACAGGCGCGCCGGAACCAATTTGAGATTTGGGACTATGGGGGGGGGGGGGGAACATTCCAGGGGCACACCTTTCAGGGGCAGTGTCGTAATGATCAAACACTTTTTTTTTTTTGGGGGGGGGGGCAAAAGTCTGCATCACCACCACTCTTATTTGTGACATGCAGGCCCCGCGGAACGTTTTTTCAAAGCGAAGTGTTAACGATCATGTAGAGCGTAAATTTGCGTGTTGTCCAGAGGCTTTGCCCCGTTGGAAGCTCAGGTGTTTTAGGCATTTAATTATGGTCAGATAAGCGTATTTAGATCTCTTTTTTGTGATACTGGCAGGTCACTAATTGGCATGGGGTTCAGGGGGACTAAGCCCTATGAAGTTCACGGGTTTGAGGTATTTAAATACGGTCAGATGAGCATCCGAGGGGCCCGCCTTAGGGCCCTTGGTGGGGTCCAGGAGGAGGAGCCCCGTATTATGCCACTGGCAGGTCACTGTTTTTTGTCTCACTTTCACTCTTTCTTTCTTTTGCTCTTTAACGAACTTTTTGTTAAAGTGAGGGGTGTTCGAGCCCCAGAGCGCCGCCGTTCTGCAGGTCCTGACATGAAGATTCGTCATATTTGAAGTTTCCAAAAACTGCGACGCTCTTTATTTTTTGGATTTCGTTTAAACTTTCACCAGTCTGCTTAATCTTTGATTTTAGTCTGCTTTCTTATATTTGTTGTTTGCTATTAATGCTGGATTTCCCTTTGAATGCCATACATCCTATATTATAGGATTTCCCGGCCAAATTCGCGAATTTGTCATTCAAATTAATTTGTCTTGCGTTCAAATTAGACGGTTTTAGTGCAGTCAGTGCAATCTCGGGTTTATATTCCCTTTTCTAGTTTTCAAATCTATGGAATTTTCGTTAGAATCTACGTATGTTTCATTCAAATTAATGAACAATGTGCTTCTTTCGCTATTAGTTCATTCGATTTGGCGCAACACGATTTTCTGACAACGCGACGGTGTACTTTTAGCATTCTAATCCATTTGTAGCATTCAAATTAGCACTTTGTGCACTTAAATTGATGGTCAATATACATTTCTCGTTTATAACACACTTTTTATAGCTCATTCTTTTTCTTTCAAGATTGTTTTTTCATGTGTATTTCATCATACTTCATTTTCTTGCATTTATACACTTATACTTATTAGATTTATCTGATATTCATCATCATTTAAGTTTGATTGTTAAGAAGAAAAAAACGACTTGCATCTACGGACCTGATGGTCTCAGTATATTTGTAAATGTTCATGTAAGAAAGTTGTTTGTCTTATGTTTCATCATAAATTTATCATAATTTCATCATAATTTCATTATGGAAGAAGGTACAATATTGTGACTGGGCTAGGGACTAGAGTCAACAATTTAAACACGATTCATTATTTAGCCATGTCTTTAGCCATTGATCTGCTGGCGGGCAAGTAAACTTAAGAGGATTTTTTTTTTTTTGGTCCCAAAAATTTCGCAACGACTCAGCTTACCGCTGAATGAGCGGGGGGGGGGGGGGGGGGGGGGGTAAGAGGACACATTTTTTTAAATTTGGTCGATCGGTATTGGGGTGGGGTTAGGTCTGTCATTTTGGGTCACCAATTACCACAATTTTTTTAATTTTTTTTAAAATATATTTTATTATATTAAAACAAAACAAAAAAAACACTTCGAGGGGTAATTTTATATGAATTTATGAAAGAAACGTTATAATTTTGTACTTTCTAATCTTCATTTGTGGCTGTCGGCTGTGTGATAATTTTTTAAACGAGGCATATACAGTAAATATATCATACCAAAAAAAATTGCAGGGGGTGCTGTGCCCCCCCCCCTGGAAAAATTCCGGGGGTGCTGCAGCACCCCCAGCACCCCCGCTTCCCAGGGCCATGAATTCTTCCCCCTAACATTCCTAACTTGAATAAAAATATTACGAATACGAATGACAGGTGTTAATTTGAATGATAAAAATTAGGCTTCGACAAGTGAATATTAATTTGAATGCTAGTTGAGCAGTTTCTAAATTGAATGACAGATCTATGAAACCCTTCGACCAAAATCCTAAATTAAATACAAAAACTGGAAAATTGAATGATAATTGGCATGGCAAAGCCGATCTGCGCTAACTTAAATGCAAAGTAAATGAATTCGAATGGCAAACACGCGAATTTGGCCGGGAAATCCTATACATTATGATATAACGTCTCTATGCGATTCCAAAGGAGTTGGATAATAACCCCCACCTTAAGCTCACAAGATCCGCGGTTCGAGACTCGCCGCGGTACTAATGTCCTTTGGCAAGACATTGATCTACATTTGCCACACTCAACCCAGGTGAGGTAAAATGGGTACCTGGCAGGAATTAATTCTATGAAATGCTAGAGCGCCGCACTGGCAGCACAGCTAAAAGAGGGGTAATAATCTCCAAGTTTGGAAGCGCTTAGTGATTCTAATAGGCGCTATATAAAAACTGAGTATTATTATTATTATTATGACTATTTTATTATTATATTTATTGCTATTATTATTATTATTAATATTATCATTGTTGTCATCATCATCATCATCATCATCATCATCATTATATTTTTAGTTAACATTTTTGTTCATAACATTACTATTATCTCTCTTTCGCATGATAGTTTTAGTAGTACGACTGGTTGATGGAAGCGATGCAAGCGAAGGCAGAGTTGAGGTTTATAACAATGGAGCCTGGGGAACTGTCTGTGATGATTCGTGGGATGACACCGATGCAGGAGTTGTCTGCCGAAGTCTCGGATTCGATTCTGGAACTGGGGTAGGAAGGGCAGAATTCGGAGAAGGTTCAGGGGATATCCTCCTAGATGACGTATCATGTACTGGAACCGAAACCAATCTTGGTGATTGTTCTAACGCTGGTTTCGGCGTCCATAACTGTGGGCACTTTGAAGATGCCGGAGTCCGCTGTTCTCAGGCAGTATCAGCAGGTATGTTGTTGATTTAATACTTTCCTATCTATTATTCACAGAGTATTTGGTGAAGCACCTTTTCTTTGCTGGTTTCGGAAACAATCACTGTGGACATCATGAAGATACAAGCATGTGATGCCAAACTGGATGGATTCATATCCACTCCCAACGTGCACTGCCTGGAAAAAAATATTATCTAAAGATCATAACTGAGAGACCAAGGGTGTGAGCAACCAGTGGCATGAATGGCCTGCCATAGTTAAGTCTAACTTAAATTCGATCTTAGTCTTTTTGAAACACTCTCCTGGACTATTTGTCCATTCGTCATAGCGACGTTCCCGACCGATCACACATGCACCAGAGAATTACGCAAGCAAGAGGATCATATAGCACATTGAGAGAGGCAGTTGTGACTACGCGTATACAAGCGAGTGCGGTCATATATAGTTTACAGGCGTGGATCCAGGGGGGGGGCGAGCGGGCCTTGGCCCCCCCCCCCCGCAAAAAAAAAAAAAAAAAAAAAAAAAAAGAGAGAAGAAGGAAAAGAAGGGAGAAAGGGAAAAAGGAAAAAGGAGAAAAGGGGAAAGAAAGAAGAGGAAGAAGAAAAGTAAAGGGGGAAGAAGGAGATCGGGGGGGGGGGCCGAAAGGGCCTTGCCTCCCAGGCTGTTAACCCCCCCCCCCAATAAAAAAAAATAAGAGAGAAGGAAGGAAAGGGAAAGAAAAAAAAGGAAAAGAGGAGATACTGGCGTACTGATAGAGGGGGGGGGGAATCAAATTCAAACGTGGTTTATTTCTGATTCCACAACGGTGTATTACAAATAATGCTGAATGACATAATTTCCGAAATTTTTCCTCACTTTTTAGTAAATTATACGTTTGTATGTGTTTGTTGGCAAAAAATATGATTCTTGAGATTCCTACATGTCAGGGCCCGAGGTACGGCGGGGATCGAGAGTCTCGAGGCATCAAAATATGCTCATCTGACCGTGATTAAATGCCTAAAACCCCTAAGCTTCCGGGGGCTTTGCCCCCTGGATTCCATCTAGGGCCCTACGGCGGGCCCTTAGATGATCATCTGACGGTAATTTAATGCCTAAAACCCCTGATTTTTTGGGGCTCCGCCCCCTGGACCCCACGCCAAATAGTGACTTGCCAGTGTCACAAAATAATAAGGTATACACAAATATATGCTCATCTGACCTTAATTAAACGCCTAAAGCCCCTGAGCTTCCGGAGCCGGCTCCGCCGCCTCGACCCCACCAGGGGCCCTAAGGCAGGCCCCTGAATGCTTATCTGACCGTAATTTATTGCCTTAAACCCCTGAGCTTGCGGGGTCGGACAAGGTATCAAGATGTGTTTATCTGACCGCAGGCGCGTAGCCAGGGGGCGGGGGGGGGGGGGGCGGTCCCCCCTAATCGGGAGAGGACGTAGGAAGAAAAAGGAGCAGACAAAGAACATCTTTGAAATTCAGACAAGGATTAAGAGTATAGAGAACGGTACAGCGCATCGTTTTCTTTCTCTAATAATAAAACGTCAAAGCCTCGCGCAGGGGGGGGGGGGGGACTGAATTGAGACGAGGATTCAGAGGCGAGAACGGTAATACGAATCTTTAATTATTTAATGAAACGTAAAAGCTTATGCGCTTCGCGCGGGATGGAGGGGGAACTAAATTCCGATGAGGATTATTTTCGAGAACGGTACAACGAATCGTCTTCTTTCTCTAATGATTAAATGAAACGTAGAAGCTTCCGCGCTTCGCGCGGGATGGGGGGAAACTAAATTCAAACGAGAATTATTTTCGAGAACGGTACAACGAATCGTCTTCTTCCTTTAATAGTTTAATAAAACGTCAAAGCTTCCGCGCTTCGCGCAGGAGGGGGGGGGGGGGACTGAATTTAGACAAGGATTAAGAGTCGAGAACTGTACAACGAATCGTCTTCTTTCTCTAATAATTGAATAAATCGTAAAATTTTCCGCGCTTCGCGTGGGAGGAGAAAAACTAAATTCAGACGAGAATTATTTTCGAGAACGGTACAAAGGATCGTTTTCTTTCTCTAATAATATAATGAAACTTCAAAGCCTGGTAGGGGGAAACTCGCCCCCACCCCCTGCACCGATCCCCCCCGCACTACGTCACTGTTGGTCACCATAACGTACCACTATTTGGCTCGCATAATTTCAAATTTGGGCCCCCCCCCTAAGAAATCCTGGATCCGCGCCTGATCGAGAACCTCACTTCGTACTATATTGAAAATGGCGGACTTTAAAATGTCTGTGATGTTTTGCTTTCTTTGCTCGTGTATAATATGTAGATCCTAGCTTTCCAAATTTAAGGACATCGCAAAACGTCACTAAAAGGAGACATTAATGATACGGCTGTGGGTCAAATATTGACATCTTAAACTTAGGGCAATCCAACCCTCGTAATACCTTCATTTGTTTGAATGGAGAAAAATAAAAGAAACGGGATAGCGAAAGTTTGAAATAAATCTGTAATAAGAGAATTATGAATATTTGATATTTAAAATATGAGATCACTAAAGCTATGCGAATTGGCAATTTTATTGGTAAATAATTGACGTTGTCGTGGACAGCTCTCTCGTTTATCGTGTATAAAAATATCACTCATTTATGTTTTTCTTCAAAGTAAATTCTTCTTTTATTTTCTTTGAAAAAGTAAATTCTTCTTTGGGGGCACTACTCAAAATATATTATTAATAGCTAATTGTAGGTCATCTAAAGAGAAAAGACCACCTCGAGTCATGCATATTGAAAAAGATGTAATTTTAGTTATTAATTTGTGTGTGTTGGAACAAATGGGAAAGTTGTTCGACGCTATATCATAGTGACATTATCGATTCATCCTATTTGAAGTTCCAATACGTATAGTCTTACAACGTTCAGAAATGTCTAATTTTCTTTTTTTGGGTTGTTCGATTTTGTTCAAACTTTCACCAGTCTGTTTCTCTGATTTTAGTCTGATTTCTTCTATAGTTGTTTGCTCTTAATAATGGATTTCCCTTTAAATGCCAGTGGCGTTTTTTTTCTTTTTACCAAAAAAAAAAAAAAAAAAAAAAAAACTCATTAGGGGGGGGGGGGGGGGAGGGAAAGGGGTTCTCAAAAATCATACACATACAAAAAAACTGAAGGGGGGGGGGGTTAACCCAAACCTCCCTCCCTGCGTACGCGCCTGTTAAATGCCGTATATCCCATTATGATATAACATCCCCATGCGATTCCAAAGGTGTATAATTACCCCAGCTTAAGTTGATAATAATACGGATCATCATCATCATTATCACCATCATCACTGTTATTTTTAATATTTGCACTATGTCATTATTGTCAGTGAATATATTATTATTATTGCTACTACTACTATTATTATCATTATTATCGTTATTTTTATCATTGTTATCACTATTGGTGTCATCGTATCAACAATATTATTATTTTTTGTTATTTTTTCGTATCTCAAATATTATCTCTCCTTTGCATTATAACTGTAGAAATACGACTGGTTGATGGAACCTGCAACAGCGAAGGCAGAGTTGAGATTCTCTACGACGGAGTCTGGGGAACGATTTGTGATGACTTCTGGGATGACATCGATGCTGGAGTTGTCTGCCGAAGTCTTGGATACAGCTCGGGAACTGCGGTAGGAGAAGCTGCATTCGGAGAAGGTTCAGGGGATATCATATTCGACGATGTCCAGTGTTCCGCTGGAGATACCGCTCTGGAGTATTGTTCGAGCAATGCTCCCTTCGATAATAACTGCTCGCACGCCGAAGATGCCGGTGTCAGATGCATTGAGTGAAGGTAAATACTAAGCATGACCCGGCACGATTCATAAAACCTATTATCAATACCAAGTTAAGATAACTGTTACAAACTACATAAAGAACTATATCAGGGGCCCGTTTCACAAAGCCTTTTTTCAATGACAAATTACAGAAATCAGTGACAAATCTGCTTATAACCAATCAGAAGCTCATAATTTCATAAATTCATAATTTAGACCTATTATTATTACTATTTCTAGTTGTTGTTGTTGTTGTTGTCAGGGAATGCTTCAACCCAAACGGCAAACCTGTTACCTGGTTCTATTTTAGGGCCTTTTCATAGAACTTTCGGACTTACTTGTGCCGCCCCTTCTACTTCTCTATGATAAATCAACTTTATCCATTCTTCCCATTCTCAGGTAGTTCTTTTCGTCCATGACGTCATGGTGTGTGAATGATGATAACAGGTTTTTTTGGAAGTCGTGAAGTATATATCGCTAAAACCAAAAATAATTCTCATCATTTGTCATTCTTATCATGCAGTTTAACTTTAAAAATGTTAAGTGAGTTATGTGGATGTTTGTAGAATCATTAACACCTGAAAATTCAAAGTAGCTTCTATTTCATTTTTATTATTTTTAATTTTGCAGACGATGCTGAGAGAACGTGTACACCTCGAGCGTTCCAGTGACCCGATTAAAAAAAGAAATTGTCATTCTCTTCCATCTATACTCTTCTTCATTTTTATCTATTATCAACGATTTAACTCTTATATCTCCATTGCATTTGGTCAGCTGGTATTGTAAAATCACATTGAGGTATAATGTTCACCGTAAGTTTTAAAAATGCTAAAGTTGGCTTTGTGTAGTGCACAGCTGTCTCCTTTTTTACCGGTTGCTTGTGCTTTTTATAATAATTGAATAGTCACTATTCATAGAAGGTGTATGTTACGAAAGCCGAAAAAATAGTACCTAGATAATTCCATAAACTGAATAAATATCAAGAACTACAAGATCTTTTTCACTGATGATGAAGGAAAATGAAAACGAAATACGTCATATCACAATGATATTTTATAGGTATCACTCCAAGTAAACAAAAAATTAAAAAAAACCCAAACCATTCGAAATAAAATATACATTGCCAAATCAATTTTAGTGATTAGTGGTAATGAAAGTCACATTTTTAAAGCTGATTTATTTCGGTCAAGAATATACAGTCATTCTGTTTTATAATGGCTTCAAGACACATATTATACAGAACTACGTATTATATGATGACATTTATACGTGTTTTCTTTAAATGAAAATCCTAATCAAATCTAAAATGGATTTAAATTAATTCTAATATTTTCCCTACATTTATTAGATATTCAATCATCTTTGGGACGGAAATTTTGATATTGATCACCATGTATTTCAAATCGTAATTTTCTTGTATGATTTTGATAGATAATCAAGATTGGTGGGGTAATGTGAAATAAAACTATTTAAATCGTAAAATCTAGGGGTCATTCGTCGATATGCAAATGTTTTGTGTAGAACTGTTGGTGTTTTGGGTACAAAGAATTTGATAGTCGAAACTTTTTCACACCTCCCTTCAATTTGATTATGATTGGTGGTAGGGGTATACTAACTGGATCCAAATTGAAATTATTCTCTGGTATCTTTGGGATTAAAATCTTTCTGCATTGCACGTTGTTTGTATCGTTTCTTCCTTTGTGTACGGTCGCACAGACTTTCAAGAAATCTACTCAAAGGCAATTTCAATACCCTATATATCTTATTCAGACAACGTACTATGTCACCAGGTGATGGACAATGCGTTGAAATTGCCCGAGGTTGAATTTGTTGATAAATGTTGATAAATTATAATTATAGTTAATTGGGGTGGATTAAAAAACTCTTCGCTAAACTCAGGGAATTTATTACATAGAGAGTGAATGAGGCAAAGGTGAGAAATAGAATGGCGAGAGAGAGAGAGAGAGAGAGAGGGAGAGATTATGTCTATTTATGAAAAGGAGAGATGGAATGTGATCGAAAAACAAAGGGAAAAATAGGAAAAGAAGAAAAGAGAGGAAAAGAAAGATGGAGACTGAATGAGATAGGGGAACAGAGAAGGAGAGAGTGAGACTAGAACTTATCGAGATATAAATAATTGTGAGATAGAAAGAAATCATGACCGAGTCAAAGACAGAAATGTACCCATGAATTTGTTACGCCTAGAATATACATATACACACATACGCGCACACCCAACATGGGACCCAACCTTACTAATGCTCCGGCGGTCATTACAACTAAATATATGAACCGACAAATTCAGGATTTCTCGAATGATATTTCATGGAGGCGGCACCTTCTTCTTTTCTTCTGTTGTTCTTCTTTTTGTTCTCCTTCTTCTTCTTCTTTTCTTTCCTCCTCCTTTTCGACTTTTGATAAATATGTGTGTGTCTGCGTGTGTGTGCGTGCGTGTGTGTGTGTGTTAGTGTGTGTGCGTGTGTGTGCGTGCGTACGTGTATGGCTGCGATGTGTATGTGTGTGCGTGTTTGTATGTGTTTGTGTGTGTTTGTGTGCGTGGGGGGAGGAGGTATCCCGCTCCTTGCCACTGTAGCTTACCCACTCAAATAGATATGTATTGTTTTCTTAAGAGTCTGCTTTAATTGATATGCAATCTGCAACCGAGCATAATTATATGCATCTTACAACACTAGGAGTATAACACAGATAAAAATCGTGCAAAAAGTGTAGCAGAACATAAGAAATAGTTTGCAATGAATAATATGTAATGCTTAAGGTTTTTGAAATATTTGAATAACAGGTGGAGATACATCTAAGGAACTGTCTCTGTTTTTCCTTAATAGAAAATGCAATTGCAATAAAGTCATACTCTGTGATGCAATTAAAGAGCATTAATAGGCTTCTTTAAAAAATTGGGTTCTCACATCCAGCCATTTAAGTGGGTCATGCTTAAATTTAAACCCTCAATTTAACCAACCCTGACTTCGTTATAGTTAATTTTTTTATTCTCCCCCAAGGAATTGACTTTCATGAATGCGACACTAGTGCTTTGTGATGTTTCATTAAACAACCGATAGCTGGAAAGTCAAGACAGACTGTTTTAAAAATAGAGGATGCGCACTTGAAAGTACCGATTCAGGGTTTAGAAGAAGAAAAAAAAGTTATTACATGACTAATGCATTCTTTTTTTCTTCTTTTTCCCCATCATTTATTTATTGAATAATACTTACATAAAAATCACATAATTATTATGATTAGAAAGAAAAATATATGAATTATATTTATATCACTAAATTAATTATACTTTTCTTAACATAATTAATATTATTTCCAGAGGTAATATTTTTCAAAATTTGCCCTCCATAATATTTCCTATAAACAAAATTCGAATATGTTTGTAAAATTACATCTTCTTTTTTTGTGTATATAAAACATGAGAAGCTAAATTATTTAATAGATTTTTAAAACCAGCATATTTTGAATGTAAATAATCACATTGCTTGCCTACAATTATATCACTGTAATCAATGTTTTCATTATCAAACAATACTTCTGTTTTTCTGAGAAAAATTAGGACCTTGTACCAAAATATGTTTGAGTAATCACAATAATAAACTGAATAATAATGATTTTCTGTGCATTTGCACTTCAAACAATAATCATAATCAGATTTTTTGAAACGATATAGATATTCTTGACATCTTAATAACATGTAAAATAATTTGAAATCAAACTGGTTTAATCGCATTTCCTAAAGTATGTCAAACTCATTTTCTATAGAATGGCCCAGGATAACTTTTTTTCAAAAAAAATATTCCCAATAAATTTGAACATTCGGATTTATAAAAGTATATTTTTGTAACTGATATATCATGACATATTTTTGATGTCAATTCAAAATAAAGAAGACGCGTGTCTTCATATGAACAACAAAAAAAACAGTTTCACATTTTAATTTTCTTTTCCAGTCACGAGGTAGGCCTATACACTTCTTAAGTATTTTAACCTCACATAAATAATTATGTTTAATACAAAGTAATTATTTGCCCGATCTATATCCACATCCCCTTTGGCGTCTATGATATCCCCAATAAATAATATTCCAGATTTTAGCCAATGTTTCCACCATAAACATAATTTGTTGTCTTGTTGTCTTGTGTATGTATTTCCCCATAACAGCTGCATTCTAATATTAGTGACCTCATTGCATGACTTATTTACACGTTGACATTTGTTTCCATGCTGAAATACATTGTTGATAAAATAAAGGTATATCTCTTAGAACTTTAAATTCTTCGTCTTTTAAGAAACTCATCTTGAGCACTAAAAAGTTGGGACCAAGATAGTTTAAATAATAATGTGGGAGAATCTTTCATCTAAAATTGTGATCTTTATTTTCCATTAACTTATAAAGCCAATTTGCTTTTAGAGCTAAACTTTGCAAAACAGATCTGGCATATTCAAACCTCCTTTTTTTAGTTGACCCGATCATAGTTTTTTCTTTTTAATCTATCTAAACCGTATCATACAAAATTGTAAATGAGTTTTTCAATATGCTTATTTATAAAATCAATATTTGGAAAAACTGACATAATATAAGTTTTATTTGACAATACCAGTGATTTCAATACAGTTATCTTACCAAAGTATGTCAACTGTTTACATTTCCATTGTTTAATTTGGTTTCCAATTTGTTCTACCTTTTCCTTCAATGTTTTCTCATTAGCGAATTTCATGTTCGTACTAAAGTAAACCCCGAGTGTTTTTACAAACTGATTAGACCATGTGACTTCTTTTTACTGTTGTACATTAAATTCACCACAATGAAAACCTTATGGTTTTATTATATTTAAAGTAGGTCCTGCTACACAACCAAACGTTTTTTTTTTATTATACACATGCCATTTTCACATGAAAATGGTACCTAAATTTACTGGGAGGATAACTCTATCAAAGCATATCATTAAACTCATCATTAAATATTCATACTTCAAACAATACACCTTTTAAAAAGTGGGAGATTTTTTCTGCCTCACTCTGTATGTGTCCTCTGGCATCCGCACCTCCTGTAATTAAAGCTGCGTTGTACATTTCAAGATGCCGCAGTGAGAGACCCGCACGGGCAATATTCATTTTAAATAGCCACTGGACGGCAGACGCCCGTTGTTGTGCATATCATCCAAGGCTCTTGAGGAGCCCATGGGGGAGCCGTAGGGTACACGTATGGAATCCTTGAGCACCGCAAGGCGCCCGTAAAGATTTTAAGGAGAATTGACCCCCCAAAATCGTGAGGGGCCGTCCGGGCACAGTCCTGAGCACGCACGGGACCCGTAAGGTGCATTACGGGCCCTTTACGGGCTTTCTACGGTCTAACGGTCAGATAAAAACGCCGGGGGAATTGGGAGCAGCCAACTTACCACCACGGAGCCCGTACGGCTTAAAAAACTGTCCCGGCGCCCGTAGGAACTTTACGGCAACCGGCCGGACAATGGCCGAAAATTCCCAAAATATCTGTTTTTACTCGCCGTACGGGCCCCGGAGTTTATATGTGAAAGCCCCATCATTGAACACCTTGAATAGATTCATCTGATATCAATTGCTAATATTTCTATGAAAACTAAAAAACAATAGAGCGGACACTGGGCAACCTAGCCGGAGACGTCTTTGCATAGAAAAAATTTATGATTGCCAATTATTATTAAAAATACAACTTTGAACATTTGTACAAAGCCTTTTCTAGATCCAAAAAATAACAGCTCCAGAATCCTTTTTTTCTTCAAAATAGCATATTACATCATCGATCAAACGAGTATTGTTCCCAATAAACGTCCTTTAAAGGGACCTTTCAACATTGTTCAGATGAGAGAAAATGGTGCTAAGGAATTGACTTTAATGCTTTGTGTACAATTAAAGATAATCTGAAAGTTTGAGTGAAAACAGACCATTATTAATGATAACAATTGGGAAAAAGGATCTAATCGATTCCTTAATTCTCCCAACTATATAATTATAATTTAATTTAATTTTAGGTGAATGTAAATCGTCACAAAGCAATGAATTGGCTTCATATACCATCTTTGCATGTTAGAGAGTTAGAACAGTATAAATAATATTATAAGTAACATTTCATTAAAAAATAACGCATTTTTTCATCAACCTTTTACAATGTTACCGGTTCACTTTAAGATATGCATTTTGAACTGAATCAATACAGATATTTTAAACACTTTTTTCAACCATCCTGCTTAAACAGATGCTATTATTTTATAGTCAGTATTTAGGAGACTCCAATTTGAAATATTTTCTTTGTCGCCTTTCTTATGTAGAAGGGTTATGATAGCTCTAGTTTGTCAAATTGGTAAATTTCCTACTAACAATGATGTTTTTAATATATTTCAAATTATTCCAAAAAACATTGGTTAAACTCAAAAGTCAAACCATCTGAGCCTGGACTTTTTCCCTTTTTAGTCCAATTTAGAGCATCATTACATTCTGTAAGTGTTATTTCTGAATCACAGTGTTTTTCATTTAATACATTATCAACGATCATGTTTTTAAGTCATTTTAAATCATTCACTTCATTCTCTTTTCCTCTAGCCGAATACAAACGAGAACAATATTCGAGCTACAATTATATATTTCGTATTTCTGTATATTATTCCATTAAAATTTACT